ATTATATCATGGAGATCATGGTGCTTTATTCTTACATTTGTCGAAAAGTGAATGAATTAAGTCTGAACGGATAGTTCTTCCTGATTCCGTGTTGTAGCACTTAGTTCTGCTTTTTTAATGGCAAGTCCAGAGAGCTTGATAATTCTCAGCTGTGCCATGTTAACTGTAGGAAGATGTCCGTCAGACATCTTGGTCGCGTGCGAGCGCATCGATCACCACGAAACCCGACACTGTTCGCTACTAATCGGTAAGATGTGTGTATACGGCGACTCGTGCCCCAGTTGACGTTTGAGATCAAGGTAACCGTTACCCGTTGGTGAACTTGTAGTTAATCGGCAACCCGCAGATAGTAGTCGTGGCTCAAGACATAAGTGTGAATCGATCGCGTAGTGCGGTGCGCCATTATGCACATTTTGTTGTTTACGGTAAACCACCATTCCATGATCCATGTTATCCAGTGACGCCTTGAACTAAGACAGTCCACGCAGACTACAGGTCTTGTGTTGGGGAAATATGGAAGAGCTGCGTTGCACCGTTATCATAATATCGACAAGAATATAATATCAAATCAGTGCTCTGGCAATCACATATTTCAGAGCACTGGTTTGATATTGTGTTCTTGTATGTCAAAGTCTTATGTTTGGACTTTGTTTTTATTTCTGTAAGAGCAGTTCGTACCATAAAAATAAACTGAACTCTTAAAGTACGAGGGAGACCAACTGATAATTCTTCAACAAATGCATGCATACTTACTTCATCAACGAGGATGTTTCCAAGATCTTTTCAGGAACTGTGATCGATCCTTTGTAAAGACTGGAGATGAAGTCATTAATTCCTAAATTTTTCGTTTTCCAGCACTCGCGCCCAACTTCTTTAAGCCTAGTAATAATATTGAAGAAAATTCTTAAGGGTATCTAATTTCAGGGTACATTCAAGGAATCATGGTAATCACACAGAATGACATCATTTTCCAACTTTCCTAATCCACAATTAAATCCCAGCGCACACTTGTTTTCGATGATAATTAGGGGACCCAAGACATGACAGTGCTCGAGCTGGCTGTGTGGCAGAGATGTTGGCGAGAAGCCACTACCTACCTAGCATATTCGAAAACGTCTGGCGCTAAAACTGCAACTTATTTTTCAAATGGAATCTGCCCTGACTCTATGAAATTCAGTTGTAATTTAAGGTGACAAGCGCATTAAGCGGCACAGTGTCTGCGGCCTGTACGAAGGGAGCGGAGTTTGAAACCAACTCGCGGCTTGTACTAAACTTGACAGAGCATGGAGGTGGCCAGTTCGAGAAGGCATCATTTTCCATCGGTAAGGTGTCGTGAGTCGGTGAAAAAAAAGCCACGGTTATACATTAAAAACAAATACATCACCAATGTCCTGTTGGGTTGTCGTAGTGGTTCTTTCGTCGCTTTTTACCTCTGCGGTCCGGTTCTTTCGTCGCTTTTTACCTCTGCGGTCCTGGTTCGATTCCCCGATCCACATGTGGATTGGGTTTTCAGTCCCTACCTGATTCCGTGGGCTTAATCTATCCAGAATATTCCTCTGGGGTTTTCCGAACTGCGACTGCTTCTCATTGTCTCCTCTCTACAGATTTCTCCAGACTTGCGAGCTTACAGTGCCTAGGGCGCTTTTGAGGAATCCTTGGTGTCATTACGAGAAATAAATAATTATTCGGCTATATCGGAACATCAAACAGAAATTGTCGCGTCTTTATCGTCACGTCAGAGGCAATCACTAGTTGTTTGTGTTGTATTCGTTGCAACAGAAGCAAACTGAAAAACTTACACAAATTAGGGCTAGCAGCAACTTGACAATCGAGGCTTGGCATAGTCCATAATACCGACGATTACTGAGTCGTACATCCCCGGCCGCGTCCCAAAGATCCAGTGCCGTGTTTTGCATTATCTTGTGATAAAAAACACAATGGGGCTGCTGGTTAAAAGCGGGGCACACGGCGACCTTTGGTTTTCCAATCCCAGACATCGGCAACCAGCCCGATATCCCTTGTTCATTGAGCTCAGAGCCGCCGCTGCTGTTTTCTCCATACTCTTGTGCATTTATGATGCGCGCGACGCAATTAACCGGGGACCCATTGACGGGGCTGGCGCTTCGCTCGACGGCGCCCGCGTTTTACTGTGTAACCTTCGTCAGCTGCGGGTCCGTCTGGAACAGGTTTGGACAAAACACGAATGCAGTCGGCAAGTTGCATTCAGCAGAGATAACAATGAAGAGCAAAATTCAGCGCTGCTCAGCTCGGCTGTGGCTTTTGATAATAGACTACGAGTAACAATACTTGATCCGTACGTGAGGCTATCCGCTGTATTGGCCTTATTGGAATAGACCCCCCCCAAAAAAAATGACGCCGCACGTTGGTTAAAAATGTGCGCTTTCCCTACGACGGCTCCGTGGATCGTGTCCAGGTCTAGCTATTGCCAGCACGACGGCTGTGGGTGGTGTTTCGGATAAAAGGACCTTTTTTTCTTTCGGTAACAGTTGTAACGTATCATTTGGTCTGGCGGAATGGATTGTGCCATCTTCCTCCCCATGGAATTATGGGTGTACATGTATTAACATTCACATCGCAATATCACTGGCACAGAAAAGATGCTTGGAGAGGGCGCCCTTCCTGCCGACTGAAGCTTCTCTTCGAGCTTAAGCGCTTATGTAAGTCGCTGTCAGTTGAGAACGTGTTACAAGTCTGGTTCTGGCATAGGACGCTTCAAACCCGAGCCGCTGTTGGGCAGGAAGCCAACATTTTGAAAACGGGCCCGATAGTCCACACGTACACGTCTGGTGGATAAATAGACTTTGGAAAATGCTTGTCCGTCTCAATCAAATTCATGCAATTGTTTTATCTTTCATCTTTAAAAACATTATTTTTATCGTCGATTCTGGCCCGATCGCTGCACCCATCTGTCGAGGTCTGTCATCTACGAGACAAATTACGGTAAAAACAATGAAGAATTTGCCCCATGAAACTTACACAGTAGTACAGTACCAGGCACTTAAAAAATTATCCACACGGTAATAATGCGAGAAACCGAACCGGGGTCATTAGTGGTATTTTTTAAAGATTTTATTTTACAACTTTTCTTTTGGCGCCATCAACACAATGGCGAAGACTATGTTCTGAATTAAAATGACCACCACCTTTTCAATACTCTCTCATTTCCAAAAAAGTGAATATTCACTCTGCCCAACGGAAACTAGGCAGCAAGACGGTTCAGACTGAAATTCATTTGATCACAGTGCCTACAGAGGCTTTGCATGGTAGCCATCTTGCAGGACACTCCTTTTGTTTCACAGGGGGACCTCCTATGTGTATCCCCTGCAGAACAAAATAACTGGCCTGCAAGATAGCAGCCATGCAAACCCTCTATTCCCACACAAATTATTTTTCAATCAAAACTTGCCAGTTGTGGTTTCACTTGGCGTGGAGTGAATTTTCACACAGAGAGCTCCTTGCTTAAAATATTTACGAAATAATACAGTTACGATGACATAATATTTACAAGCCAGCAATCAAACTTTGTAAGATTTGAATGTTTCATTACCTTTTCTGTTTACAGGCTTATGCGATGTTTCGGTATTAATTCATTTGGAAAATATCGGCACTAAAATCTCTCCAGATTTGGCCCAGACACGATGTAAAAAGAGCACCTATACTCGAAGTTCAGAATATTGTTCATGGAACACCGCGAACTACTCTTAAAAGTTGGAAAATATTCAAATTAATTTCCTCTTCTTTTAAAGCCTGCTGTGCAAGGATAACAAGAGTGGAGCCATTAACAATGACTCCTGATTTGGAATTTTGAATGTGACTGACCTGTGCCCGTTAATCAAAATAATCTTGTAAACAAATGCAGTTACAAATTGCAAAGATCTTGTCACAAAATAGTTACTCTGGCTCATCTTGGAACATGCACGACTGATGTATCATTGACAGAAAAATGTGCTACGACATACATAATATTTAAATGTGGTTTAAATGTGTTAAAACTGAACACAATTCTTGCCCAAAAGACCCCTGTTCCTCTTGAGAAAAAAAAAATACTGACCTCTTTTAATGTCCAACTTTGATGACAGTTTTTTCCACCACTGACAAAAAGGCAACATATTTTACAACAAACTTGGCCTCCTTACCTACGGAAGGACAACACATCACCTTGGAAACAGAGAGAAGAACTAGGTTGCGCTCCATAGTGTAATGCGCACCCTAACAGCAGCAATGCCCGTACACATTTGGTGTTGGAAGGGCACACATGTTACACAACTGATTAAATCCGTTTATTTTTCACTATTTAAGAGGCAAGGAACTGCTGATGCAAACATGTTTCAGACCGACTTAGCTGATGAGCAACTTCTCATTATCACGGCTGGCTCGTTACGAAATCTAACAGAACTTTTTGTCGAAGGTGAGCATCTTTCACACTCAGAATAAATCACAGATAGTGCGGACCACCATGCCACTGATATAGAAATTCTTTGTTTGCTTTCCCTTCAGAAAGCACCAATGCAATAGTGTGGAACATAGAATTACTAGAATAAAAATAAAGAAGAAACCGCTTTACTTAAAACACAATTCCATTATACAGAATTTACTTTCCTGTTGAAGAAGTATGTTACATTAGTTACATGTTTAACCCTAACCCCCTAGGCATTTTCACTAGGAACCATCCTGAATCTTCCGAAATCCTCCGATTTTCAACTTGAAAAAATTGCATTCAGCCAAAATCCTCCAAAATCCTCCAAAAGTTCTTGAAAATGTCATTTGGAGGTGTGCCTTACTGCCCAAATCCTTCAAAATCCTCTGGCAATTCCTGTCATGAGGTTGAGGCAGTGCGAATGGCAATCTTGAGCTGTGCGGTTGATTCAAAAGAAATATCAAGCTGAATTCGTGCTTCACTAAGCACAAACAACATAAGGTCTGATCCACGACCTTCACGTAGGGCATCCTTTGAAATCAACCATGCACTTTTGTCATACACCCTGAATCCTCCAAGTTCCTCCACATTGCAGAAAAGGATTTTGGAGGATTTGGGAGGGTTAGGGTTAATGTTTAAAGTTCTTGTGGTGGAGAATCGACAAAACACAAAAATAAATCATCGTAAGTGCCATTTTGGTCAGTAACAAATTTTAATCTGGACAAAACTGCATGGGAAATGGTAAGAGAGAAGCGTGAGTACTTAACATCACCCTCATACATATTCATGATCTATGCCCCAACCCTATTGGTCAAACTGCCATTCCGGCATTAGACTGGTTTTCTTCCCGGACAATGTTGGCCAGTCATGTGCGCGTGTATGATCCAGTTTCCGCATGCTGACGGTGTATGCACGTGATGGTAACCTACCCACAATGCTGGGCATTTCCTTTAAAATACCTCGAGGAAGAAGCAAACTGTCACCAGAAGACTGCCAGGATGACGCAGTTGAGATGTAAACATGGCTTAGCATCAGTCACGCCCGGAAGTGACTTACCGTGTACATTTGCCACACCACAAATGGACATATCCTTGGCACGATGTCCGGGCACAATACGTTAGTTTGTGGTGTGACAGACAATACCTAATGTATACCTAATGTAGACAATACCTAAACCGTCAGTGGGTTTACTTGCTGTCTGGTGCGCCCTCCTCCTCAAGCATCTGGTCGATCTCTCGCTCCCATTCCTCATTGCCACCTGTGTCGTCCTCCTCGACCACCTCATAGTCCTGGGAAGGAGGAAAGCAGATTACAGCAAGGATTATTGCTAGGCCTGACCTTCGATTACACTGATCACCATTTAACAAAGGCAGTCTCACTTCACAAGAACAGCCAGTCTTTACTCAAACGATCTGCTCTCGATCGTTCTGGACAACGCAGTGAACATGGTCGAAGCTTGGGGAGTCAGCTAAGCGGAGTAGTTCTTTCTCACCTTCCACCTCTGCGGCCCTGTTCCATTCCCGGCTCAGTCCTACCACGGATTGGATTTTCAGTCCTTCCTGACTCCATGGGCTTTACCCAAAATGTTCTTCGGGGGTTTTCCTCCCGCCTCTAAAAAAAAAACCTGTAGGGGCTTGCCACCGTCCTTTTTCTACAGGTTTCTTCAGGTTTAAGCACTACAGTCTCTGGGATTTCCTTGAGGAATCCTCACTTTTCTTACCAGAATACATAATTACCTGGAGCTCCTGTTGCAGTTCTTTCTCCCACTCGGGAATATCTCCCTCATCTGCAAATAAAAACAAGAGAAGTTTGCAAGATGGGCAAGTCATGCATTACTTATTCTTTGCAGGGTTACCAAAAAAAAACCAACCAAATCAAATGCAGTGGTAGGTGACAGGAATGGTGGAACTGATAACGTCGCTGCTGTAACTGAAAAAAAAAAAGCTCATTCGAATGCACGAGTTTCCCTTTCAGAGATTTGGACTGTGATCCGACATTCCGAGGTATGCTGCCAGCGCATGCCGAGGGGGCGGGGGGAGCATGCAGCTTGCAACATACCCGGCGGGCTGGGCGAGGGGCCGCTCCGTTTGGGGGACAGTTTTGCGGAACAGAGGTACTGGATCAGGAGGGCTACTAGAGTGGGCACTATCCGGCCGCCTGGAAGGGGGGGAGCAAGGTGGGGTATACCGTGGGTGATACAGCCGGGCAGATGGGGTTACGATATGGGGTGAAGTGGGTGCGCAACCGGGGGAAATTGGTAAACTTGACTTGTTTGGTTCATTTGCCTGGGGGGTTTGTCTTACGCAATCCCATTATCTTTAACGTCCGACATTACTTGAGATATGAGAAACAGAAAAAATATGTAGGATTCCTGTTTGAATCGGCATCTGACATCCACGGGATAACTGATCAGACTGTTCAGCACAAAGAAAGTAGGCACGATGAAAATATTTACTGAGCAAAAAATGGGCTACCGGGCAAAATATCACGCAATGTATATTGCTATGTCGCTGGTTCCCAGCTGACTTTTGCTAAACCCAGAAAGTTGCTTCACAATTTTTTTTTGTGTTCACAGCACTTTCATTCCGTTGACTGCTTGCCTCCAGTAAGTCCCCCTGCTCACCCCTCCCCTCTTCGCCCCTTCTCGAAGCGTCTCAGATCTTACCATCACTCTCCTCCTCCTTCTTGTCCATTCCCAGCTGCTCGAACCCCTTCTGGATTTCGGCTTGATCGATCTCCGAGACAAAGGCATCGCTGATGAATTCCGCCCCCGGCGGACTGCCTGGCACCTCGTCTTCAGTCGGCGAGGTGGCCGAGGGCTCCACCGATATGTCCAAAGCACCAGACTTGTCTGTCGGCAAAACATGCACACACAAAAGTAACGATGACAAGGAAATACCGTGGATGTTCTTTTAGCGCAGCCGGACCACATACCGAGCAGTGTTTATGCGGCAGTAAATAAGGCCATCTCTGAAATTGGCTTCTCGTGATATGGTAAAATCTTTCGCCTGCATGTGCCGATGTGTTCACAAATGGCACTGACGCAGACCTAGCTTTGGACATGAGACTTGGAAGTGGCCGACTATTTCTTCCTAGAAATGTCAGGAAAAGGAAAATCAACTTCCGCTTTGGTTTGGGCAAGGATAACTTTTTTGATGGGGTGGATTTGTTTGGTAGCAAAATTATTTATCGTTGTGTATGACGCCCTTTTTGCCCATGAATCTACAAATTAACTGAATTCGTGAAATATGGGCTTATCCTTTGAAAGACCACATGCACAAACTGTGTCTCTGTGATCTCACATGCTCATGAATGGACAATAAAGTCAAGACAGGTTTATATATCTCCATATACAAGGTGCATCTCTCACTTCAGTGACCGGAAATGGTGCTCACAATTTAACTGCCGTTTCAGCATGCAGACAACATGCAACAACCATTTCATACTAAAGAAAGAAACGAGCAAACGCAAGAACAACACCCAATCAAAAAGTCAGAGCCCTTGTTACAAAGTGAATGCATGCATTGGCTCGTGCGGAACACATTAGCCCACACTGAATGGGTCAGGAACAGCTGATCTTGTGTGAAAACATGGTCTTCCGTAATTGTCATACGTATGGGAGGCAGAGGAAGGGTTAGAAAAGGACTTTCTGTACTTTCAATTGTGGATTTTTCTGATGATTTGGAAATACAAAGAATTAATTCCAACAATCTGAAAGTAAGTTTCCTGGCCAAGAAAATTTGGATAGATTTGGAATGAGAACAGGAGCGGTCTTATTGAAGTAACTGGGGGGAGTCTGCTTGCTGTGTGCTGGGCAAACATGAATAACAAATGGGAAAGTACGAGTTGGAAAGCAAAGCCGACAGTACCTTTGACGTTCTCTGATGGTGTGTCGTCGGCCTTTCCATTCGATCCACTGTCGGCAGAGCCAGAGTCGCTGGAATTGCCTGTGGCCGATGCGTGAAAGCCGAGAAAACGGAAAACTCAACACAAAACAGGTACAAAAATGCCTCCAAGCCCCTGGAACATTCCTATTGGAAGGCTTCCTTGGAGTTGCACTTCAAATGGGCACGAGCAGCGTTTCCTGTGTATTCCAGCCGGGAATGGGCCATTCCCAATTGGGCAGGTGGGAGTAAACCTTCCTAGAAACCTTCCTGGTTTGGGTTGTGTTTTTTTGGCATGGTCTTTGTTATCATTTTTGGCATCAAGCTTCAGTTGTGATTTGTAGGCATTCAGCCCCGCAAGTTGGAGTCCTATTCCTGGTCAGTGCAGTCTGCATTCTGCTGCAGAACTTTCCCATCGTTGAGTACTTCCATTTTGTTTCAACAGTAAACCCTTTGAGAGCGACCACTGAGCTTGAGACAACACCAAAGACAAAATGAAGAGTTGGACGAGGGCTCTGCGATTCAGGTTGGTATTCGAGTCCTTCACAAGTCTCCGCAAGTCCATCATAAGTCCCTAGCATGTCATTCAGTCCGAAGCCAATTCACAAGCTATTCAAATAAGCAGTGTGAAAAGCATTCCTTTGTAATTGTTCACCCTGTTACTTATTGCTGGCCTTGTGAAGGGACTTGTCACTGGACTCGTGAAGGGGCTTGTAAAAGGACTTGAGATGGACTCGAATACACCACTGCTGACATTCCTGGTTAAAAACAGTGAGTGTATTGCCCCTTTACCACAGTGGAATGTTCCAAGTGTTTGGAGCAATGAGGCCGTTTTAAAGTGAGAACCTGGTGTTACATAAGAAAAAAGTGAAGATGTGCAAGATACAAATAAATTGTTGCAGAGAAGCTTTTGTGAGGACGTGGTGAACGCAAAACAGCTGTCGCTGATCAAATTAATGGAGGTTAAGCGCTGAAAAAAAAAACCAAAATGAAATAAAAGAGGAAGAAATTTTGAGAAGTTATTTAGCAAGACTTTACTGACCGATCATGTCCATAGTTTTATGTGGGAACAGTAAGTTGAATCGAGAAGGAAGCTTTCTATTACCAATGCTAGAACTACACAAAAGCCAGCCACGAGAGAGTCAACTCACATTGAAAAGATGGAGTGAGAGAAGCTCGTATGTGGTGAGCGCTAGTCGAAAGCAGACTGAACAAGATTGAGAGGATCACATCGAAAAGCTGTCAGTGTATCTTTCAGCAAGAAGATGTAAATTTGGTTTATTGGGGGGGTTACCTGAGGATGCAGCGAGGGAGGTCAGCTGGGAGGACTGCTTGATGAGGGATACTCGGTAGAAGTAATTCCGCCAGAAATTCTCCTCCACGATCCTGCAAAGGGTTGAACCAGGGAAACTTGTCGTCAGTATCTGTCACCAGAAATCATCAAACAAAACTCACCTGGCTGGAATGAGACCCACCCTAACAAATTGAGTTATCAGTTGCCGGGGCAACTTTTGTGAGTCGCCTTTAAAAGAATCTCTCACCCACATACTGTCTTTACTCGTAGGGCTGCAAACCTGATCCATGCACAAAAGGGCTCACAGCTGTCCTCCTGATGCGAACCCAACAAAAATTACTGAAAACATGGCTCACAATATGGGATCCGACAGAACAAAGACCTAATGGTGTCACACTTGATGGATCGCGCCCCACCTCATTGCTATAGGAAAGTGCATGTGTAAATAAAGCCTGACGTCATTATGTCACATGCCCATTACAAATTAATATTGTGGTATTCACAAAATCACATCAGCTGCTTATTTCAAAATACTGTACATGTACAAGTCATGCACCGGCGACAAAAATCATCTCTTGATGGACGACAGCCTTACTGTTTCGGGACGAGGTCGAATCGCATCTTCTGGAGTTTGTCATCCTCGTGGAGCGTTGCCATGGCCACAGGGAACATGCTGGCAAAGTCAAACTGGAACTGGACGCCCGCGGGTGGATTTCGGAGGAAATTTCGTTTATCCTGAAATGAAAAATAAAAAGAGATCCAAGTCTGCATACAGCACGTGTAATGAATGCAAAGGAATGGTCAAAGCATAACCTCAACAACATAATAAACTTATGTGTAAGTATTGATTTGGGATTTTTTCCGCCATTTCTTGACTGGGAGCAAACCAGGAGCGGCAGACTTTCATTAATTGATTGAATTGTCAAAGCAAAGTACAGCCAAACACAGACTATAGGAACACTTGAGTGCTAGTGCATCTAGCATAGTTCCTATGCATAAAAAAAAAAAATGGTTTGGGGTTAGAGTTGGAAATGGAGAATCTCCCGGTCTGACAACTTCTTGCGCACACCTGTGACAATGCCAGGATCTGTTCTTTCATCTGCTCCTCTTCGTTGTATCCCACCCACGGAGGAACGGCTGCCTCCGCCCTCTTGGAATGCTTCTCCTTCACAAACTTGTCCTGCTCTTTCTTGAAATCGCCCACAATAGTCTTGAAGCAAAGGGGAAAAAAGTCCAATACGATGTTGATTGTTGACGTCTTGGATCACGTCCTGCAGACACTTTATGACTAAACTTGGAATAGAGCTTTTAAAACGGGAAATTAAGTGCCCATAAACACATGTAGTTGATGGGATTTAAAGATACATTGATATAGTAAATCCTGAAATTCATGAATTTCGGGTCATTTGCAGAACACAGTGCAGCTAAACTCAAAGAAACAGTGATATTTGGGCAGGGGAACCTTGTAGGGTGTACAAGCTAGCAAACACACATCTACTTTCGCCTTACCTAATTATTAAAAACAATAAAAGAAACAAAACCTTGTACACAACTTAGCAGCCAGTAACACCTAATCAAAGCCCAAACAATTCCACAAGAATATAAACCAATTTACTTGGCCAGAAAAACACTGCTTCAGTATTGCTCATTTACCTTTTCTTCCACAGTTTTCTGAATAATTGTTGCTGTTTTAGCTGCAGTTTCTGTAACTTTTTTTGTTCCTTCCATCGCAACATTGAACAAGTAACCTATAAAAAGTAAGAGGAAAACCACCAACATGACCAGTGACCAATAAAATGTGTTCAAGGAGGCCTTACATTTACCGGTTTTACTTAAAAAAAAAACTTTATTACAGTTCACGGCAAGACAAGTTATACACGGTGTAAGCCTAGTTCAGTAGTTTTCCTGGTTCCAGATTTTTCCTAGTTCCGGATCGTTTGCAATAAAAACCTGTCTCTCTTGTGTTGTTCTTTAGTTCTACATTCCAAGACAAGTTCTGCTTGAAAGGTGAAATGTAGGCTTCTTCTTGCGCACAATTTATTCTAGAAAAACTCAAGAAAAGAAATTTGGGCCAGATTTCTGTTTTGCACTTTGACATTTTTGAACAGTTTGTCAAAAATCACGGGAGCCAACAAAAAACTGACAAAAAATTTACAAGGCTTTAGGTCACTCGCTAGGTGTGATTCCACACACATTTTTCACACGCAACAGTCATATAAACTTTTGAATCTAGTGTCTGTTTAAAATCAAGATGACTTGTACCGTTTCCGTTTGTTTAAAATTGGCAAAAACTAAAAGCATACTCCTAGCTTTAGATCGTGCATTATTAGCAGGCAAAATGCATTGCGAACTCAACTACACGGACGTAGGAGAAATGTATGTGACGTTTGTTAACTGCATGGCGTAGGGGAAAGTATCATTGACAACTCGCTCCACAGCTGAAAAAGTCAAGTACAATTTACGCAGGCTCTACTTTTTAATTCATTGGAATTCTTATGAAATAATTTTCTCTAAATTAAGAAATTTTTCATCAGAAAATCAGCTTGCTGTAATGATTCTGGCTGCCAAATGGATTTCTCGCGTGGTTACTTTTTATTCATGAGTAAGTTTTTGTCGCCGTCTGGAACTGCTTAAATCGATTCAGAACTAGGAAAGTGTCCACGTCACTTTTGTCGATCTTATAGGCTCAAGTCCAAATCTGCAAACTGAAAGCTAAGACTTTGAAAAAAATTCGGTAGGTACGTATATCTCCAATACACAAGGCGGACTACTGACCACATGTCACGGGAATTTGAGGATTTTTTTTACCTGCATTCTGACGGAATAATTTTTGCAATCCTGAACTAGGTAAATGTCTGCACATTTGCAAAATGCTTTAACAAAATAACAGGTTAACAACAACACTAAAAATCATGACAATGGTTATGGTTAACAATGCATGTTCACTTTTCCACGATCATCACGATGATGAATACAAGACATGTACAAGACGATAAGACACAAATACAGACATTACAACATACTTCCCCACTCCTTCGCTGAGGTAAGTGCAGCTTCCGCAGTAATGTTCAATTCAGGTTTCACCGCAGGCTTGTCTGCATCTCCACTTTGCGTTTTCTCTGTGTTTTCTGCTTCGATATCATTCATGTCGTTTTTGCTGTCCGTTTCAGCGTCTGCTTTGGATTCAGAGATCGTTTCCTTCTCAGTTTTCCCCCCTCCCCACCAACTATTTAGCATTTCCATCGTTCGATAGGCTAGTTAAACCACATGTACCCAGAGTGAAGATTCGCTTGGAACATGGAAATAATAGGAAAACTTCCCTACGACGACACGTCTTCCATTAGCGACAACTTTCTCATCAACTAGCTTCAGTACGGGTCAACTTTGTTGATGATTGTTGGTAAATACTTCCGGTTTTTAACTTTCGGCAGTCTTCGGAAATTTGAACAATTTTTAAAAGATATCTAAGAAACATATTTTGCTGGAAACATGAAGTGAAAAATGTTCCGAAACTGAAATTAAGAGAAAAAATTACTTGAGAGAGATTAAATGTAATTTCAAAATCCCGTATTCACTTCGGATTTGTTCGGAATTTCCTATGTCAATGACCCATTGGTGACCCCACATTGAACAGGATAAAGACTTTGGCGCGGCATTGTGGGACATTCGGTCTCTTTCGTTGGAAGTTGCCAACATGGTGGGTTGACAGGATTTTGAGCAGTGTAATATCTTCCCCATCTTAACAATCACGAGATAGAAAATTGAGTTTGAATGTATTTTTCTTAAACTATAATGTTCTTTCTATTTAACCACATGATTATTTCACTTCTGTCCTCATAGAAAGAGAAAATATGACACGCTAAATTTTGGCTGTTTCGTTCATAAACGACAGGCTCCCATTCCCTCTGCAGTACTGCTGCCTTCGCATGGCTGGCTAACGGGATTCCATAGAGTAGGCCCTAGGCTAGCCTCAGACTGGACTCCCTCCGTATCCTACCTAGGCCCCACAGCGGTCTATCAGTCTATTCTAAAAGTGGGGACTCGGCGAAAAATGCCTTCTATGAAACCCCTTTTGCGTGTATGGATCACTCACCCCATCAATAATACTCTGATGTATGGTGATTTCCAATTCGTGGAGGTCTGTGAAATTTTGGTTTCGATTTGGGCTATTCGTTTACTATAGCAACAAGGCCTAACTCCTGATCGCTGACCAATTCCAAACACACTGTCGGGATCTGTTTGGTCTGGGAACCAGACAGCGTCAGAGACTGTGATCTGACTGGTGTTTTATCAGCGACTGTGTAATGAAGCATTGTGTGTATGCGTGAATGGAATGAATGTGTCGGAAACAACAGCCGCTGGGTATTTTCATGGGTGCGCGTCATCGTGCAGGATGGGGATTAGACGAGCGAATGGTGTGCGCTAGCGTTCCATACATGCCACGCTGTTACGTCTGGCAACGATTCTACGTATCTTTTGCATTGATCTCCATTACGGAGATCAATGATCGTATTCATTTTGGTTCATCATTCATTAACATTCATTGGCAATGTGACGCTCTGGGGTCTACGTAATTACGCTGTTTGGTTCCCAGACCAAACAGATCCCGACTGTGTTTGGCATCGGTCAGCAATGGGGAGTTAGTCGCCCAAATGGCCCAATTCGAAACCAAATTTCATGGACTTTTACGTGTTGGAAGTCAAAGTAATAAATCAGAGTACTGATGGGGTGAATGATCCGTACACGCAAAAGGGGTTTCACAGAAGGCATTTTTGCCGAGTCCCAATTTTTTGAATGGACGGCTGTGGGGCCTAGATTTTTAAATGGGCTTGGTGATCCTAACATTAAATGCCATAGGCCTAATTAGATTCAGCAGAAAAAACACCCATGGCTACCGTATAAACAAAATTTTACCATTGCTTTTGTGATGACTAGCCGGAGTCTGCATTGGGACGGAACGGATGGGAAAGAGACCATACCAGAACACTTGTTTCAAATATGATTCCTTTACGTAGTTTATCTAGTGACATGGCATAAAGTTCATAAAAAACAACTTTAAATAACTTACATGAATGGAAAATATGGGGGAAAGACAAAAACTGATTATAGCAGATGGATGCCCAGTTAAGGAGACAATCTCTCTTTCAGGGGACTGGTTTTTGTCTCCAAGGACTTCTCCACATTCAGGGACAGTCTCTGAGTTGCGATGTGCGTCTCTACTGGCAGATGTTTTCATTTAAAAGTCATACACATTGCCTTGGTAGATCATTGGAAATGTTAAAGATTTTCAGGTATGCGACTTTGCTTTTAATACTTACCTGTTTAAAGGCACGAGGACCCAAGAAGCATCTAAAGCGCCTTGCAGCACCCAAGCATTGGATGCTGGACAAGCTGACTGGCGTCTTTGTAAGTATTCAGGCTCCCTGAGACCTAGGGTCTTTGCTATCCGTAGTTGCTTTGGTGAGACTAGTGGAATCCAACAACAGTAAGGCACAAAGCGTAGTGAATTCATGGAAGCCAGTGCTCCGAGTGGAAACCTTGTTGTCTGTGCTCTGATGATCAGCAATAAACACATCATATACAGCACAGGAAGCTTAACCCCTTCGCGACGGATGACGGTAAAAGCCGGCGTAAAAATTGAGATCCTCAGCCCGCTTTTCAGCTATTATTCTCGGGCCACGCTCGGTGAAAGAAGGCACACCCTGGCTCTTGTATATATGGTGATTGGCCTTAGTGTGTGGCCCAGAAATGAAAAGACCGAATTTGCATCATAATCACCAGCTTCACAATAGTCCCCACTTTGAAAAGAGGCAACGGGAATGAGGAAGGGTGAGTAGAGCCGCATGCCACCGAACAATCAGCCTTTT